TCCCAATGATTGTGTAAGTGGTCAATATAAATCAAAATATCTCTCATTCAGATATGATTTAGTATTCTAAAAACCCTTTTATTCGAAATCTCTAAAACTTTGTAAAAGAAAAAGTTGAAAATTTGTTTTTACATATAAAAATTATTACTACCTTCTGAAGGTGGAGAAAAATGAAAAGAAATGAAAAATTTTGTGTGTTTCAGAGTTTGTGGGTAAAATGCTTTATAATATTTTGTTCAATAAAGTCATTAAATTAATGTGTCATATTTTGCTACTATGAAATTTTTCATTTTTCAACAATCATTGCCTCAATTTACTATCACCACTCTAAATCGATTATGAATCTGAAAATTATTCATTAAGTTTTCCTAAATTTTTAGAAAAAAATCAATAAAATTTACAATTATTCATAATAGATCTCTAAATCTATAAATCTCCGTGTGGACTAATACTTTTATGTTGAACTATATATTTTCATCTGCAATGATGCTTTATTACTAATATTTCAATATCCGAATTACATATTTTTATTGGTCTTTTCTCGCTAGATACTCCTACAAACCATTCAAAGTTGTACATGTCAAGCCAAGACTATAATTGAAAATATTCTTTTGACGCCGCAAACCACAATATTAGTATTGGTTTTATTATTACTTATTGGTTGCCTAAATTGATACCTAACGCACCAAGATACCAGTGCTAGTTACTAATCTTTTTTGTGACTGTGAATAATTGAAAACTGGAATATTGCGGTTGATGTTTGGAAAAGTTTGCTGCATTATTGAATTACTCTAGGAAACGGAATTGGGTAGCAAAAAATTACAAGTTCTCTGTAGAAATTCCTCACCTTTTCAAGAAAAATATGGTTTGAGGATATAATAATGCCAGTTTTATACAATCAAAGTGGGTGTTTTTAGGAAAATTTAATTTTTTGAGGAAATCTGAGAATTAGAAAATCGAAAATTCCACTGTACTTTTTAATTCGAAATTATAAGCTTTTCAGATTATTATTGAAAACTTGAAATAAGTATATGCTTAGATATACGCTTTTAAAACACAATATGGTATTTTCTAGTGGCATTCAGAATTGTTTCAGTTTGATATCAGTGAGACCTTGAATTGGCTTCAAAATTAGATTTCTACTTTTTCACAAAGACAAACAACCATAGATAGATAGATAGATAGATATTTATTTGAAACTCATACATGATATGGTTTATAGCAAGTCAATCACAATTAATATATCATATTGAATGAATATATAATAACATTATCTAAAAGCCTTCAGGTATACAATATAAAATATATCACAATCACATAAATTGGGTAATACACGTCAAAATTGAATTTTTGTCTGAATAAACTCGTCTCTAGAATAAAAACAATGTTCGAGAAGATAATTTTTCATTCAAAAGGCTTAAGAAGAAGTTATTCGATATTTTTTAAATCTCTTTACAGGTATCAACTTTTTTATGGTAGAAAGTCTGTGAAAAATGTAATATTTTTCCTGTGTTAAATTCACCAATTTTTTCTTGCTTTTTCATTAAAAATAAAATAAAAACGCTCGATTTTGAAAGTGCCCTACACTCTTGCAAATGAAAACGAGGTTCCAAGTTTGACCCTTAGAGTATACCTCACAGGACAAAGTACGTTTGCAAGATGATAGCGATTAAATATATACCTACGTGAACTGTTCAAAAAATGTTCAATCAAATTTTGCGTAAAAATTGTATGTTAACAGTGGCATACGGTGATTGTGCTCTGAGTCATAAAAATGTTTACAAGAACGAAAAAAGTACGCCAAGTTTCATCAAATGTCAATGTGTTTCTTACTGTTTTCTTCGATTACCGTGGCGTAGTGCACCAGGAGTTATTGCTAAATGGTCGTACGGTCAATAAGGAGTATTATCTTGAAGTTATGCACGGCTTACGAGAAGCAATACGAAGAAAACGTCCGGTATTGTGGCTCCTGCATCACGATAATGTTCGTAATTTTTGGTCAAAAACAATACCGTAATCATGCCTCAGCCACCGTTTTCACCAGATTTGGACCCCTACGACTTTTTCCTGTTCCCAAGATTGAAGAGTCCCATGAAAGGATGGCGTTTTGCGACGATGAGGAGATGAAAAGCGAATTGCTGAGAAAAATGAAAATTCACCTTGTTTTTTGAACATCAGAAAGTATTTTGGAGAAACAGTCGCTTTTGGGCTTGGATTTCCTTCTTTAGCGAATAGAAATCAAACAATGTACAACAAATATATAATTTATTATGAATACGTATACAGTACGTGAAAAACTTGGTAGCAATATATCGATAATTTTAAGTAATTGGACCAATTGGACAAGCTACACATAAATATTCATTTAAAAAATAACGTGTATCTATTACCATTACTCGCCAAAAGTCATTTGTCACCAACATAATAAAATGCTTCTGCTTCTAGCTTATGTGTACGTCTAATGATATGTCCATAAAATCATTATTTTATTATTATTTTCTTCAAATCAGAGTTTGCTCCTCACTGAAACTCTTATATGTATTCTGAAACCAAACAGTAATAAATAATAAGTAATAATAAATTAGGATAATAATTAATTTAGTGTCAGACTGCATAGTTTCAAAATTGTTTTTTATGGTTTCTGACAAAAAAATTTCAACTTCCTAAATTTTTACTATGAAATTCATTTATATGTTAAGAAAAATTGTCCAATATTCAACATAACCCTCATCACATAGTCAACATTCGATGAATATTTACATTTAATGTTCCTGATGTGAAACCATTCACCATAATTATGTGAAATTCTGTTTATTTTGGTAATTATTGTTGTGAAAGAATTATATAACACTTGGGTTTCGGCTAAAGTAAGAATTTCACCATTGACTGTGGCAAAATACATTCATAATTCATAAATATTACAGAAATTCGTTTCTTGTGTTCGGTTGAGTAGGATTGAAACCAAAAGTTATTTTGAATTGTTAATGTTCTATTTAGTTGAATTCATAATATTCAAATAATAATAATATCGGAGTTTGCTACCTTGACAACTCACTGTGAGTTGTTTATCTATCAACAGAGACTGCTTCGTCACTGCTAGGCAATCCGGTAGCATTCACCGTTTCATCCAGAATCATGTCGAACCACGTTAGGTGAATATAGGTGAATTTTGCCTTTTTTAGCTTGCAGATTAAAAATGTAGTTAAATTCGTTTTGACGAAAATCCTTTTTGCAGGTTTAGTGAGGTTTATGTTATCCCACTATTATGAAAACGAATTTGAAAGTTTATAGAACTAGTAACATTGAAAAAAAAAAAAAAGATTATACCAAAATTTAAAGGCATCAGTGCAAAGGGCAAAAAGAAGACGAACGGCATAACCGAATGAGACCGAATTAAACTTCGTTTCCATTAAAAAAATTGATGAGTACTAAAAAAACATACCGCGACACGTGTTTTGCTATATACTATATAGCGAAACACGTGTTGGGTTTTTGTGAACTTTCAGATGGAAAGCTAACAATTAAAATGTGTTTTTTGAATACTTTATCGGTCAGTCATATTAAAAAAAAAATGTTGTTTTTCATGAGTATTGAAAACCAAACCTTTTTCGAAATGAGGCAAGTTTTTTCATCTCGAAATATTTCTTGAAATATGTGTGGAGAAAGTGAAGTTTTCTTCGCTTTTTTTTTAATATTACCATCTTTCACTGTCCTTAACGTTTCGGAAATAGCAATCTGCCAAAGTCATCAGAATCCATAAAATAACATTCGACATTATTCAGAAAAGTTGATAAAACTGCTTGTTAGCTATTACCGTTCGTGCAGATTCTAATAACAGAAACGGATTTATGTTTCCGAAACATTGGAAACAGTAGTTAGTGCAAGGTAAAAAAAAACACGTTGCAAAAGATCTGAAATGGCGAAAAACGTTTATTTTCCAACACATGGTGAGGAAATTATGGTGAGCTCCGGTTTATTATTGGCACAAGTAATGGAGCAGTGCCATTTCAAGAAAAAAAATTGCAGATTTACATTAGTTAAGCATATATGAAACACTTTGCTAGGCATGGCATAAAAAGCTGTGTCAAATTATTCTAATGAAACATGATATACCTTAAAGATATGTTTGACGTGCAAATACAGTAAGTTTTGTCTGATTACAAAGAAGTGCTTACTAATGTTCAGTGGCGACCTTAAGGGGTGTCGAACAGGACCACCGCCCTTCTAGAAAAAAATTGAAATTAGATTTAAAAAAGTAATATTAAGTACATAAGAATTCTAAAATGTAATTCTCATATATCAAAATGTGGCTGAAAACTTCGAAAAATTTTAATTTCACTCATCTCTTCTTGAAAGCTATTAAAGTTTTGTGAAAACTCTCCAATGCCATTTTCAAATCCCTAAGTAAGTAAACCTTTTAGGGCCTTATGTACATACCTTATTTTTTCAACAATAAAAAATTTAACGTTTTTGTTTTTTATTGATTTTTTTAATTTTCATATATCTACAGTATTTTATAGTTCAAAATTTATTTCTGTGGAGATGTTATCTCTTATCCATCAACAGTAATACCAATTTCCAATGTACGCACTTTTCGCAATAGACAGCTCTTGCTATGGTTAAGGCCGTCACTGCTAATGTTCCGGGTAATGCCTAATGCCTGTGTCAGGCATAATGCTGATCATAACATACACACTTAAAACCCGATTCCTTGCTTCCGTTATGTATACGTTGAATAATTATCTTTTTCAGAACATCTTTGTATTTTTTGAAACAACTTCTTGTTGTCTTGATTGCTAAATAAGCATTCGTCAGAATTTTTGGAAACTATGTATTGATTTCAAAGTAACATTGTTTTATTAAAAAAGGTGCCTCACTTGGTGTGAAAAATAAAAAAACTGAAAGACAAACTTATCATCCCATGTTGGTTGTTGTATTTTTCATCGAAACGTATTATTTAATGAAGAAAATATGAAAAATTAACTGCTGTTTTCTTTCAGTGCAGCGGACTCCACCACCAGATCCAGAGCCTTTCCAGGAACCAGAAAAGGATAGTCCTGGTGAGTGTGCAGTACAATATTCGATTTTTTAAGAGAGGTATAATAATAACAATCATAATGTTTATTCACCATTTTTTATACACTTGGTTATATAAGGTGAGTTAGTTGTACTAAAAGCTAGTAAAAATTATATATATTCAAATAAACATATAAGCCCACAACTTTAATGAAAATTTTACACCATTCACAAAAATTAAACCTAAATTAAATTACGACCACTGTGATTTTGATTGTTTGCTTGATTGTCAATTAAAAATTCTTGGTAACTGTGATAGCATCTTTCTAAAAGAATATTTTTAATACAATCATGAAATACTTTGTCACTTGTGATTTTTTAACTACATTTAGCAGCTCATTGAAGCACGTTATGGCATTTTACTGAGGAGATTTTTTAGATCGCCATTTCTTGTATTATGACTGTGTTCTGAAGCAGTAGAAGCGGTAGAATTTTGTTATATATAATATAACCTCGTATACATATCATTTTGTTTTCTGGGTTTCCGTCCTGAAAAATATACAACTGTGTCTACAAGGACATTTGAGATAGAACTGTCGGATGGAATGCATTCTAATAGTTACCATCGTATCGCAAGGAAGTATATCGCTCTCATTTCTTTTCGTGTAGATGATGATTCATATTAAGATCCAATCAGTCAAATCTTAGAGATTATAATAACGCGACTCAATGCGGTCCTAAGAGTGCTTCATTACCATCTATGGCACTTTTACGGTATTGACTATACACCAGTGTTGCCCTACGATTCAGGAAGTATTGAATGCGTTATGAGGAATTTATTAGAACTATTCATTCCCTACCCTCAGGCTGATACAAGCTGTTAAGCCCGATGTAGTTCTTCTCACCCACCAAATCAAGACGATATTCCTCGTGAAGTTTTCTACATATACTGAATCTGTACAGCTTACTTTTTATAATTTCATGATTCAAATGCCTTGAACAATCGAATGCCCTACTGAGATCACAAAATTTCAAAACTGGACATTATCCCGCTTATAAGTAAATTAAGTTATAAATAACTGCGATGAAAAAACTAGTAGACTCCATTCTGGAGGGCTCTGACTTGGAGATTCAGAGAAAAAAAATATAGGCAAAAAAAATTCAGCAAACTGTGTATTCTTAAAGTAATACTATCTGAATAATATTTCATTCTAAAGGCTAAGAAACATTCAAAGTGAACTTTCTTCCTTCCTTCCTCTTATTGACACCAAAGCTTTGTCAGTAAGAGTTTATCTTTGGACAATAAAACATATTTATGATTATTATTATTCTATGATTTTACTAACTGATTTTTGACATTTCAGATCCCTCAGAACCCCAAGTTCTTGGAGATCTGATTACTGACAGTTTTGAAGCTCTCTCGCTTGACAACGACATCAATAACTACAAAAATGACCCTTCACAAGATAATTCCAAGCACTATTCTCGGTCGAAGTCTAATTTGGATCAGGTAAATGGACCGTCAATATTTCAATTAGCATATATGATTTTTTCAATGTTAATTGCAGGTTTATAATAACAGACAACAGAACAGAGAAAATATTTTACCAAACATTAACAAAACGAAGCCATCGACGAAGTTTGCATTACAACGACAAAGTAGTTATAAAGACGTGCCTGAAAAGGTACCCAAAGCTGGGAATATAAAGCACAGCGTGTCCGAAGCTAATATTACTAAAGGTAATTGTATTGAATAAAAATATCAATAAAGAAGTAATCCTGCTATGATTTATTCAAGGTCATACATCGTATATTCCAGATATCATACATTCCTAATTTTCCATTTTTTTCACTGGCAGTACTCTGTACAAATTCGTCATCTCCCCAAAGTGCTTGATACTTTTACAATACACATCTTACAATATTTGTAAACCATCATTTTCCTAATTATTATCTTCACAGAAAAGGCGAAATTTTACACAACTTGAATTTTATCCAATATTCAATAACTTAAAAAATTAGCATATTAACGACATTATCTAATGCAACAATACAAATAGTATAGGATATTCACGTTAAGAAGAGAATGACGTCACAAAATGACAAGTTACGGCCTTGTTAACATGTGCACTATTTCAAATTTTCAAATTTTTTTGTAATGTTAATTTGTTTTATTGCTATCAACCTTACTTACTATTAACTTAGTCAGTTGAAATACAAATTTGTTGAGACTGTTTCGACAATGCTTTAGGCATATTGAATATACGCAGGTCTTATCAAAAGAAATTGTTAGTTCTGAAAAGAAAACAAAGACTGTTTTTTTTCGATTCGGAAACGTCTGAAATTTTACTATCAGTTGAGCTACTTACAAAATGAAATTTTACTAGTTTTATTGCTATTAAACGCATTTCATTAGAAATTTTAACGTTATGTTGGCTACAGAAAATTACCAAAAATGACGTCCTTCTCTTCTTAACGTGAATATCCTATACAATAGACTGCTTTGGTTAAGGATTTTGTTTAGAGCACGTAATTTTTTCTGAGTTGGCTAACTTGTGTATTTGTCATTAGTGTCAGTTGTCATGTTATTTTTTCAGGTTACTTCAACAAAATATGAAGAAAACCAAATCAAAAATTAATTCAATAAAAACAGCAAATAAAACTCCAAAGTGGACAATGTAAATAAACATCTACCACATATGACAACTGACATTAATGACAAATATACAGAGAAAATAAATGTATTCCAAACAAAATCCTCATTGGATGACACTCCTTTGAAAAAGAGGGAATCTGATGCAAACACTACTTTTTGTCTAGTTCAATTACTTTAAGTTAGTACCTATATATTAACAATTTCTCATAAAATTTTCAGTTCTGTTTCGCATTTTTATATATTTTTTATACCATTTCACATTTAATAATAAAGTGCAATAAATTTTGATAACGAACAATTTTACATATTTTCTCAATTAAAAACTTGGAGAGTTGTAAATGACTTATTAACTTTACTTGACAAATTGGTCAAAACAGTTTGTCTCTGAAATTTCAAAGACTAATATTTGAGAATGAGTTAAATAATGAACAGAAAAGTAAATGAAAATAAACAAATATTTTTTTTATGATTTATTAATTTCAGTTTTGATTCATCTTTCTCAAATATTAATGAGTTCAATAAAGTTAATGTATGTTTCAGTTAATTATGATGTTTTTTTCTGAAACTCTTCATCACTCTGCTATCTGTATATTATTCCATAACCTCTACATTTAGATGTGCCCTTTCCAAAACTTCGTTGTATCTCATTTAAGAAATTTAATTTCGGCAACCTTATTGATACATTGAAATCATATTTAATACTACTAAATACTTTCATACAAATTTAGTTATTTGTGGAACAGTTTGATGAAACTTGATAGAACCTCTAGCATAAAATGAATCTGTTGAAACCACTTTTCCCACTTGGTTATCAAAACACGCAACGAGAGGCAGTATTTGTGTTCTGGTGTAGGAAAAGTGTTTTCAATAGTTCATTGAAACTATTTTTACCCCTATTTTTGGTTCAGTAAAACTCATATGACTGTTTCCTTTTATCGAAGTTAATACATGTATTTCAAATCTGCCATCATTTCAGGGTCAGTTTCTTCAAGAAATTCATCGAGGAAAAACTCTTTTTCTAAACCTAGTCGTAACTCAAGTGTACCTAACGTATCAAAGATACCTAACCTGAATAGTGCCAGAATAATAGAAAAGGGTCCCGTCAAACCGATAATGCTGTCGCCAGTGGATATATACGTAAATTCTAGAATATCACCCGAAGAGAAACCTGTCGAGGAAGATGAAGATTTTTATCCCATGTCCATTGATAAACCAGTAGGATTAGATCTAGACGATTTTCTTCCTGTAAGTACAAATGCTAATGGTATAAAACTGAGTCAAGAGCACATTGGAGTATGCTTTCATCGAGTTGTTGCAATTCACATTGGTTGAATATCCATAACATATAATGAAATTCAAACCGGAATGAGAATTCATTTTTCGACTTATGTTGAGTTGGCAAAAATGTACTGGTACGCTTATTTCAATTGAATTGAATAATTATTCATTGAGATATAACTCTAGTAATGAACATATTTGATCTACCTAAATATTTCCCGTCTCTAATAGTGATTTGACGATTCTTCCTAAAAATTTTCTTCACTTTCTCAACATTTTCATCCGTTGTCCAACACGAGCATCATCTTTCACATCTTCTCGACCTTTTCTCAAAAGCTTGTACCACTTGAAAAAAAAATGTGTGACTCAGAGTACAATCACTGTATACCACTGTTAACTTTTCAAGTGTTTTTGAGCACTTGATTTCATTTTATACACAAAATTTGATGCAAATTTTTTTATTCATTTTTCGATAATGAAAATTGCCAAACACGCAGAACACTTCTAACTTTTATGCCTCTCACCAACAAACTAAACATGCTCAACCGCTTGTAATTTTTAAACTACTTTCGAAGACGTTTTTGATTGAAGTTTTTTTTATTAATTCTTTTCTATCCTTTTTCTAAACAAGTCATCTAAACAAAAATACTCCATTTAAAGGAAATTGTAGAGCACTACCGTACACCCCCCTTAAGCGGGTTACATAATTAGATTTTTCTGGATTTACATTTTTATTTTTTGATTTCCTCTTGAGAATTCCATTTAGTGTATTTGAAAATTTTGCCTTTTCAGGAAAATTTTCATTTGATGATTCTATGAAAGCTGGCTTCAATGTATCAATCGAGATATTCTTTTTTTTTACATTCATTGAAAGTGTAATATATTTTTTGGTTCTTTCTAAAACCTTGTAGGGACCAGAATAAGGAGTTTGCAATGGTTTTTTAACACAATCTTTTCTTAGAAAAACATGAGAGGTGTTTTGCAATTCTTTATGTACAAACAATTTTTTCTCTCCATGGTGACTAGACTGTTCGTTGATTTTTATGTTTCTCATGATTTCTTGTAAATTTTTCAAAAATTCTATATGCGATAATTTCTTTTTGACCAGTTTGAATAGAACAAGCGTCCGTATTTGCAATTCCTTTCATCATTCCATCAGAAATAGTAATAAGTTCTTTTTCAGGAAGTTTCTTGTAAAATACCCAGATAAGTTGTTCCACTGTATTTGGAAGTTTCTTCAGTCAAGATAATTAGATAAAATTTGGTGTCATTTGCTCTAAGGCAAGATCCTTCATCCCGATAAGTTGACACTCATTGAATAACTTTGTCATTTTTTCTTCGTCTGATATTTGATACATTCTGATGAGTTGACTTTTTAGTAGTTCATATGAATCTGAAGAATTTTTGTGTTGTATTGTAAAAAGATTTGAATTTTCTTCAACAATACTGCAATCTAAAACTGTCAGTATCTTTCCACATTTATTTTATTAGAATGTATGCTATTTAGGTTAAAAATTGTCTCTACAGTATTGAACCACAGTTCGGGTTCAGTCTTCCAGAAGGATGGTAAAGTGGCAGACTTTGTACAATTGCATTCAGTTTCTGGCTCTGTATGTTGTAGTCTGGACTAGTTTGTCTGATAGAACAACAATCTTTTTCCGTGGAAGTTGAAGGCGTAGTAACTGCTGGATTAAGTATAGGTGTAGACTCTTTACTCATTTGTTGAATACGTTTTTCTATGCCTTCCATTCTCCTATTATTATTTTCGAGATTTTCAATCAGCTTATTACAAAAAATCTCTAGCTTGTTCACCTTTTTAATAACACTACCTTCTGCTTGAGATTCCTTAGATTTTTCCCGATTACTGATTTTGCAAAGTAGTTCTGTGAAATCAAAGTCTTGAGAATTCAACATTCCAAAATACTCCTTAAAAATTTAAGCCTCCAGCATTATTTTCATGTCAGGAACAGTTCCACCAGGATTGACATTAAAATTTTCGAGTTGGTTAACTAACTGCTCTCGCGAAAGGTTCTGAATGAACTTGACCATGGTTTTATCAAATGCGTAAGAACTATTCACTTCTTAGGGTCACCAATTGTAGTTTTTAAAGTTCTTTCGAAGACGTTTCTGATTGAAGTTTTTTTTCATTAATTCTTTTCTATCCTTTTTCTAAACAAATCATCTAAACAAAAACATCTCCTAGCAACACCTAGCATACTCCATTAAAGGAAATTGTAGGGCACTACAAGCTGAATTGTGAACATATGTTCGAGACGAGTGTTCCAACACAAAAAAAATAAATATTCACCTTATTATTTAATCAGACTTCGTATATTGGGTTGGTAATAAGAAGATTTTTGAGTATTCTTCTGAAAAACGCGAAATAATTCAAATTCCAATTTAACAATTACAGGTGGCTATACATTTTTAGCCCATTATGTATAATACTATTTTTTATTAATAATAATAATAATACTTTATTTCCGTGTAGACAATATACATTGTATAGGAATAGTCAATAACAGAAATAAAAATAAAGATAAAAACAGAGTATAAGAAACATACAAGTTGAAACAACACCTTAAAACTAAAATAATACCCTACTTATCTAATCTAAAAAATTCATTCAATGAATAAAAACATTGTTCAATTAGAAAACTCTTTAAATTTCTCTTAAACATCACATAATTATGTTCTTCCCTTAAATGATCGGGCAGTTTGTCGAATATTTTTATTCCAATGTATTCTGGTGCAAATGAAGTTATTCTTAGTCTTGCATATGGCACATGAAATCTATTTTTTGTTCTAGTGTCATAGTGATGAACATTTTTATTCATTTTGAAATGTGTTTTGTTTTTGAATATGTAGCTGCATATTTCAAATATATAAACAGATGTGAGTGTTATGATGTGATAATTTTTGAAAATTTGTCTGCAAGATTCTCTCCTTGAGACATTCGCAATACACCGTATAATGCGTTTTTGAGCAATGAATACGTCATGAGTCATGGATGACCCACCCCAGAAGCAGACACCATACCTCAGTCTTGAATCAACTTGAGCATAATAAATGCTCATTAGTTGAGTGGTAGTTAAAACTGTCCGCAGATTCATAAATAGAAATTTCATTGAATTAAGCTTAGAAATTAGATGCTGGCAATGAGCATTCCAGTTCAAGTTTTCATCAAGAAGAATACCCAGGAATTTAACACTTTTATTCGATTTTGAGTATGTCACATTATCAGCACTGAAACTGAAGTCTTCCATCCTATTTTGTCTATTATGAAAACGAATAATATTTGTTTTATCCGAATTAAAAAATAAATCATGATAATTGAAAAATTCAGTTATATATTCAACTGCAGAAGCACATTTGTCTTTCAATATTTCATCATCTGATGCCGAGATGATCATAGAAATGTCGTCGGCATAAGCTGTATAATGAACTTCAGAAACAACAGAGTCTATATTGTTTACATATAGAATAAAAAGGATTGGGCCCAGAATGGACCCTTGAGGGTCCATTCTGTTGGTTGATAATGACACTTTTAGATTTTGAGAAGATCTAATATTGTAGATATATGGAATATTATTAAATTTTTCTTTATCACTATGAACTAAGCAAGTAGTCTGTTGAGAAATTAAAAAATCAGCAAAGAAAAAACTATGTATAAACTCAATTTTTGTCGATTTCTGAAGACGGAGGCAGATTTCAGCCTCCGAAACGTTAAGATAGGTATCCTATAATTTCTAAGCTTTTTTTGATGGGCAAAATTATGAAATATGACAAGTTACTGATGAATAGAACTTTTTCTTTGTTGAAAATAATTTAAATTTACGCAGTAACTTAGAGGGGTAAACTCGAAAGTTTGCCCTTTTTAGACGTGTACAAATTTCTTCATTACAATTTTCATATTTTTTAGATTGTGGAAATACCAGAAGAAGGTCGATAAAAGCTGATTTTCCTCCACAAAAAATAACTTTCGTTTAATATTTGTTTCAGTGTTCTACTTATTAATAGGCATCTAAATATAAGTCAACTGAATGGACGAGAAAAATTGAAACAGTTTATAAAGCACATTGTTCTTTTACAGAAGAATCACAACACGATGGGTTTTCAACAACAGCTGCCGTCAATGTCGGAAGCGGAAGTGTTAGGTGTAGTCATGAGAGGTCACGATCCCATGATGGGTATCTTGAATACGCGACAAAGGAGCCTGAAGCTGATCCTAGCCCAGTACAGAAGCAAAGATATGAAATCTGCCATCGAAATGGCATTGGCGATGGACGAAGCAGCAATTCTTGTAGATATTCTTGGAGTTATAAATAATAAATAGTAAGTTTTTATATTCACAATAATAATAGTTGTTCATGATGGATTTTTTTTAGCTCTTTGTGGAATCTCGATCTGTGTGTTTTGATATTACCGAAGATATTAGACTTACTACAAAGTAAATATGAGACGTAAGTACAGTTTTTTCAAGAATTGTTTATTCTTTTTCAACATTTCATGAAAATGGTAAAAAATGTTTCAATATGAATAGAATTGTATGAACAAAAAAAAAGATGGATGTAGCCATTACCACGTGGTAGGAAATTATAATGATGAAAAGAGAATTGAAACTTTCTATGTTTTTACCACTTTTATTTGTAACTGACGTTACTGCAGTTTTGTCCTATAAGGACATTTTCAAACTTATACATTAAATACATTGAATATGTATAGCACGAAACTGCAGTAACATTAGTTATAAATAAAAGTGGTAAAAAACATAGGAAGTTTCAATTCTCTTTTCTTCAATTGTATAAACATTTTTGGGAAACCACAGTACAATAATTTTTAGGTGAAAGGGAAGGTGATGTAAAGCCGATCCAGAATTTTTTAGGTGGCTATTTTATACAAAAATATAATATTGTTACAACTTCAGTTTGGGGGGTGACTCAGGGTAGCCTTATGAGGGAAATACCATGAGGGAAACACCAGAATACTTAGATACTAAGTTTATTGCCTAGGAGTTGTACACGGAGGTCCTTCCCCAATCAGGTCTTACTAACAACTGTCTTATTATAATACATCAATAGCAAAATCAATACTCCTGACCTCTCTGAACTGAATGATTCCGTACAACCCATCTCGTCTTGTGTTTGTAAATCTTTTGCTGGAAAAATCCTCACTTGTTTACTTTGTGGTAAATGTTCAAGAAGTACCGAAAACTTATGTGAATTTCTGGAACTTCATCTAGCTTTTCCTAATACGACTAATAACCAGTCCGTGCAAAGCTTATTGTTAAATCATCTGAAAATGGAATTTTTAAGAGATGATGATCGACTGTATTGTCAAACATGCGCCAAACTAACACACTGTTATAAGGAAACAAGTATAGCTGAGGCTCCAGTCAATCTAATAATAACACTGACGATTTTCAAACAAGACTCAACCTCTAACGGAAGCAAGAAACTCTTTGGTAAGTTCGAAATAGATGAACATTTCAACCTAGCAGACCACTATTATAATATTCATCCAGTCATTGTTCACTGTGGTTCTGGCGTTGAATTTGGTCATTATTACACCTTGGTCAAAGAAGAAACGGACTGGTTTAAGTTTGACGATAGTCGTGTCACGAAGTGTTCTGGCGATGCATTGAATTTATTGGAGCCTCTGAAGACACCCTACATTTTGTTTTATAAGAGAGAGGACATTGTTAGATCAAGATCTTCAGATGATGTGGTGCTGCAGATTTTTCCAGGTTTTCCTGCAGTTGAAAAAGCAAATGCGCCACTGGAATCAATGAAGTCGCCCCGGAGCGCCAATTAATTTTTATTGTTGTTTTTATTTTATTTTTATCGTTGTTTCAATAAACTTCATTAATACATCATCATCAAATATAATACATATTGACATCATCAAAACTATCAAGTCGAGGAATCAGCTACCGCGGTCCCCTCTCGCTCCCTACGCCTCGTGTTGGTCATAGTGACATTAGGTCGCGTCGTTGCATCGATGCTAAATTAAGGGTAGACTCCTTGATGCCATAGGTCATCATCTTGCCACAATATTTCAGTTCAGTTCAGTTAACTTTTACTGAATTAAATTTAACAAATTCCTATCTGTTTTTAAAGGAATTTTCCTGTTACTCAAGTGCATCATATGATTTGCCTGATTTTAGGCTTGCTGTTACAACAAAGGAACCTTATTTGAAACTTGGAATATGAGTCAAAAAAATTAAATGAAATCAGATTTTTTCTCTTCATTTTTTTCATTCAAAAATATGTTTGAAAGGTGTTAAAGAAGTATTAAACAAAAATGAACCAAAGGAAAAAAATGCGAGTTGAATTTGATTTTTATTGCGCCAAGGTACTGATTATTGACGTAACTTTTTTATTTATGAACCGATTGAAAGCTTACCAGAATACATCATAGATTCTCGCAACCATTTCGGTAGGCAGTTTTTGAAATTAGTGAGCACAAACGCAGAGATAAACAGATAATAATTCTAAAAATCCCATTGTTTTACGTTCTATTGCGTTAAAGTTCCTCAATAATAATTTTTCTCAAATATCTTCCAGGTACAGACAGTGATCAGTTACACTTTTATTAGGGGTATATGTTAGGTTAGGTTAGGTCTAAAGTGAGTTGGTCTATTCGACCCTCCACCGCAACCCGCAAGGGTTTATTGTGGCTCACACCTATTCACACTAGGCCGAATAAAGCCAGCTTCTTAACGAAGCCGATTAGGTTGTATGGTAAGTGGTCTTTCAGGTCAGATGGTAAGAGTACGGATCTGCCGAACTCTAAGAACCTGATTCGGTCCCCAGCGGGGCAGGCACAAAGTATATGCTCTACTGTTTCATCATTTTCCAAACAGAGGCGACACATACTGTCTTCCAAAAGTCCAAGTCTCTACATATGATGATTCAAATGACAGTGATCAGTAAGAAGGCCTGTTAGACATCGTAGTTCATCCCTACTGTAGTCCAACAACAGTTTGGTATCAAGCATCGAAGAGTGGATAAACGACTTGGAGTGAGCCAATCCTGGAAGATTCTGCCAGAAGTCCCTAAATCTTCTTGTCATCCTGGTGTTCAATGTTTGGCAACGCCAAAAGCGATGACAATGACAGGTTATGGTCCGACGAAGCCGATTGCAGCACCCTCCTTTGCAAGAGAGTCAGCAGCTTCATTACCTTCCAGGCCAGTATGGCCAGGAATCCAGATCAGAGACAATCTGTTAAGTCTTCCTATGGAGGAGAGTCGTTTTTGGCAATTTGCTACCAATTTAGACGTTGTTCGGTAGGAGCCAAGAGCTTCCAACGCCCCTTGACTGTCCGAGAATATTTTTATTGACTTGTGTGTGAGGTTGGATTTATCCAATCTCTCCGCACACAATTCAATAGCGTAAATTTCCGCTTGAAATACAGTCGCATAAGTTCGTAGACAGGTAGATATCTCTGTTCTGGGACTGTGACTAAAAATACCTGCACCAGAACTGGAAGGTGTTTTGAACCATCTGCGAACCAACAACTATTTGCTCTTAATATTACCTTCTCTCTACTCGGGAATAGTACTTTATAAGGCAGTTCGTAGTTGACAGTTGAAGGCTTAAAGTCAGAGGTCATTTCCGGAATGCTGTGACTTCCAGTGTCAACCAACAGTCTGTTGCACTCTGCATTTAATTGATTTGATTTGTGCAATTGGCACTGTGCACAAGTCTGTATGCAGCCCATCTAGCCTCTCTCTCCAGAAAAATGTGGAAAGGAGTTATATCTAGAAGGATCTCCATCATACTGATGGCCAGATAAGCCTGTCTCTGTAAACCAGAGAGGTTCACTTGGGCCGTTTTCTGTAAAGCCTTCGACCACCAAGCAACTGCACCATAAGTGATCATTGGTCTGACAATCATCACATAAATCCAAAGGATTCGTTTGGGACCTAAGCCCCAAGTCTTACCACAAATCCTTCATAGAGACAGTCTGGCTCTGTGTAAAACTTTTTCCAAGTGAGCGTTCCAGGTGTGTCTTTTATCAAGGACAATTCTCCTCTTGGTGAAGGATTAACACAGTTTTGCTGGGGTTGACAGACATCTGCTCCCTCAGGCACCAACTGTGAACAACGTCCAACGTGCTTTTGAGGATATTACAAGCAACCCTTTCCGACGTGGACCTTGCCAGGATGAAAAGGTCATCTGCATAGGCTTGCAGATCAACTTTTCTTCTGTCAAGGGCATCGAGCAGACTATCCATCAGGAGCCACCACAGAAGGGGAGATAGTACCCCACCTTGAGGGCAGCCCCTGGTGACCCTGAACCTGATGGCCTCGCCTTGAAGAGTCGTAGTTGCAGTTCTGTTTACTAGCATGGCATAAATCCAGCCAGTTATGGTCGATTCTATACCCTTCCTAGCCAGAGACCATCCTATAGATTTAGGTAGTGCATTGTCAAATGCTCCTTCAATATCAAGAAATACAGCAACCGCAATCTCCTTGTTGTCAAGGGATTGGGAGATTTTCTCAACGAGGTTTTTTAATGCTAAATCTGTCGATTTGCCGGTTTGATAAGCATACTGGTGGTTATGGGGAGATGCATATAATGCTACCCTCCCGATATATCCGTCCAGTATCCTCTCAAGTCCTTTCAGCAGGAAAGATGTAAGGCTGATTGGTCGGACCGATTTAGGGTGTGGCTCTCGGGGTATATGTATACCAGAGTAATAATTTTAATCTTAAACAATGTTGAATTTCTATAAAAAGATCACACCGCATTTGTCTAAAAAAGTTTAATGCAATTTTCAGATATTTTTATTTACTCATCAAATTAACGTATTCAAAAAACACTTTATTGTGAGATTTTCATCAAACAGTTTTTCAAAAACGCAACACGTTTCGCCATACAATGGCTTCTTCGGGTGTGTCTTTACATTGTTTGAATACGTTAGTTATGAATTTTCATCAAGTATCGGCCAATTCCATCATATATCAACAAATTATTTGAACTTTCTTGTAAATCAGAATCAAAACTCCTGTAACAGAAATTTTTTCCAAACATATCCTTTCGAGAGGTGATCTCTGTGATCTTGGTTGCCTAAGAGGATGTGTTTAGAGAATCTTGAGTCAATAGTAGTGTTTGATTGTTTTTCTTTCCGATCACAGATGGCGTCGATGAGCTTTTATTGACGAGATAACTCCATTTTTGTTTCCCAAATATTACTATAATAATTAAACAATTAATATTTCTAAGTACTCACCGAAGTCCAGCAATCTATCTATCCAATGTCTTCAAACACCAATATAAGTCTTGAGGACTGAAGAAGCATTGTTGTAGGGAGCCCATTAACAGATGGCGTTACTGAATAAATTTTAAGCTTAAATTCCAGAAAAAATAAACTTTATAGACAACGCTGATCTCAGTTTGCTGAAAATCCTCATCAGAACTTACCAAAACTAATAAAGGTTCACAAAGCCGCGACAAATTGCTAAACAA